ATGTCCCTGGGGTGTGATGGAGCTACATGTGTGTGTGTTCAGGGGGGACATATGTCCCTGAGGTGGACATGGAGCCACATGTGTCATTGTGGGGAGGGACACATGTCCCTGGGATGTGCAAGGAGCCACATTGTGTCATGGGGGGGCTGCATGTTCCCTTGGAGGTGTGCATGGATCCATGTGTGTCCTTGGGGGACACGTGTCCCTGTGGGTGTGCATGTCCTGAGGGCTCTGTATGGAGTCACAGGTGCCCCCTGGGGTGTGCATGGAGCCACGTGTGTCATTGGGGGGGGGCTGCATGTTCCCCTAGGAGCATGCAAGAACCCACCTGTGTCCTCTTGGACATGTATGTCCCATGGGCTGTGCATGGAGCCATGTGTGTTCTTGGGGGACACACGTGTCCCTGTGGGTGTGCAAGAAGCCACGTGTCCTCTTGGACACATGTCCCCTGGGCTGTGCGTGGAGCCACGTGTGTCCTCGGGGGGAGGGAATGTATGTTCCCCTGGGATGCTCACGGAGTCACATGTGTGTTCTGGGACATGTGTGTCCCATGGGCTGTGCATGGAGCCACGTGTGTGTTCAGGGAGGACACGTGTCCCTGGGGCTGTGCATGGAGCAGGTGTGTCCTGGGGGGAGTGACAGACATGTATGTCCTGGGGGGGGGGGGGGGAAACACGCGTGTCCTCCACCTTGGCATGTCCCTCCCCTTCCCAGGTCAGTGGAGGAGCCGATGGAGGCCGAGCCCACGCTCTGACCCACCCACATCGTTCCCGCCTCTGAAAAAACCAAGAAGCACCCAGAAGAGATGAAAAAACTCTCTCACACACACACACACACACGGAAAAAAAATCACAGTAAAAGGGAAAAAAACACTTAAAAAAAAAAAGACCAAAAAAAGAAAAGAAAGACAAAAAAAATGACAAAAAAAAAGACCAAAAAAAAGGCAGGAACCAGAAGGAAAACCAGAAAAAAGAGGAAAATATTTTCTTTTTCTATTAAAAAGAGAAGAAAACCACAAAAAAAATCCCCCCCCATCCAGTGCCCCCCCTCCGGCTCCCCCGCGGTGTTGTCGGTTGTGTCTCTTGTGCAGCAGCGATTCCACCAGCACCCCGTGTCCCCCCTGTGTCCGTCGGGTCCCCCCCGTTGCTGCCCAGACCCCCCCCGGTGCTCCTCTCTCTTTTTTTTAGGGATTTTTCCTTATTTCCCCTTCTATTTTTTGTGTGTGTGTGTCCCTCTTTGTTCCCTCCTCGGCTCCGGCATTTGTCCCCCCCTCCTCCTCCAACCCCACCCCCAGGGGAGGCGATGGGAAATATTTGTGCCTTTGATTATTTTTTTTTAATGCCTTAATTTCCCTTAATTTTGGGTTTTCTTAATTTTCTTGGGGTTTTTTTTTTCCCCTCGGCCTCCCCGTTTGGGACAGGGACACGAGACAAAGGGATGAGCTCTGTGCGTCCCTCCCTCACCCCCCATCCCTTTGTCACCCCTTCGTTGGGATCAAATTTGTTCTTAGAGGAGGGGAAAAAAAAAAGAGACAAAAAAAGAGAAAAAAACACTTTATTTTCCAGTTTTATCACCAGCCAGAGGGGCCTCGGAGCAATTTTAGCTTTAAAAGAGAGAAAACTACCCAACCACCCCCCTAAAAAGGGATATAATTTTATTACAGATGGATTATTTAATAGTATTTTTTTAATGGGGGGGTGGAGGGGTGGGGACAGGGACAGCACGTTGTGGGTTAAGTTATTTTGGGGATGAGGGGAATTTGGGGGGGTCCCCAAATTAGGACAGAGGGATGAGCATGTCCTTGGTCGCCTCTCCTAACCCTGGGTGGGGGGGAAAGTACCCCGGTTTAGGGTGAGGAAGGGAGGGGTGTCACTGTGAGGACCCCAGTGTGGGTGTCCCCCGTGTCGGGGACACCCCGTGTGTGGTGGTGGTGCGAGGGGGTCCCAGATCCCCATCCCAAGAAGGGGAAACGCCCCCGGGATGGGGGGAAGGGGGTGTCGGCCCCCTAGCAGTGTGCCCGGCTTGCTTTGGGCTGGTGTCCCCTCCACCCCCGTGTGTCCCCCCGTGTCCCCCCTCGGTTGCTGTCAGTCCCACCCCCCAGCTCACGCTCGCTCTGGGTCTCGGTTCAGTATTTTGTAAGATGTCACCGATGTTCGTCCTTGTATAAATAAACTGTTTCTGGCAATACCCGCCGGCCCCCACTGCCTTTGGGGGGGTGGGGAGGTTCCCCGTGTCCCTGTTCCCATCTCTTGGTGTTCCCAAGGCTTCCTGGTGTCCCTTTGTGCCTCGGTTTCCCCACCTACAGCAACTGGTGCAGGGAGGGGACCAACGTGTCCACCCCAGCATCTCTGGAGGGGCTCTGTCCCTCCCTGTCACTCCCCCACTGTGGCTGGGGGGGCTCTGTCCCCCTCCCAGCCCTGCCCTGGGTCCCCCTAGCTCTGCCTCTGTGCCCCCCCCCCGTCTTTGCAGGACTCGGGCCCGGTGGGTTGGTTTTGGTGCTTTATTTGGTAAGAAACGAGGTGACCCCCCCGCCTCCGGTGGTATAAGGGGGGCTCCCGGCGTTGGGGGGGGTTCCCATCCCTGCTCCAGAGAGGGGAGAACTGGGGCAGCTGGAGGTGGGGGGGTGGCAGGTCAGTGACCCCCGGGCTGGGGCTGTCCCTGTGCTGTGTCCCCAGACCTGCTGGGCACGGGGCACCCCCAGCTCCGCCCCCCCGGGGGGGTCCTGCTGCCCAGGGGAGGGGGGACAGGGCTTTTAGTGCAACAACTGGGGAAGCCTGGCCTGAAGCCACCAGCGATGGGGACAGCAAAGGGCAGAGCCGGGACGGGGGGTGGGAATCAGCAGGAGGGGGCGAGGACTCCCCAAATCGGTGGGGGGCTGGTCCCTGGGGACGAGTGAGGATGAGCCGGGACCCCCTACTTAGTGAGGGGTCCCCGGGGGCGGGTGAAGGTGAGGATGAGCTGGGAGAGGTGCAGGGACGCCCCTACTCTGCCCTAGGGGGGTCTCCGGGGCAGGTGAGGGTGAAAATGAACCGTGACAAGAGGGAGATCCCTACTCAGTGGGGGGCGTCCCTGGGGGCAGGTGAGGATGAGCAGGGACCCCCCTCCTCAGTTTGGGGGGTCCCCAGGGGCAGGTGAAGGTGAGGATGAGCCAGGGCAGGAGGGGGGACTCCAACTCAGTGTGGGAGGAGGGCCCTGGGGGCAGCTGAGGATGAGGATGAACCAGGGCAGGGAGTGGGTACCCCCCTACTCAGTGTGGGGGGCTCTCAGATGAGCCAGGGCAGGTCAGGGATCCCCCTACTCTATGAGGTGGAGAACAAGCCAGAACAAGGGCGGCGGCCCCCTAATTGGTGTTGGGGGGGACTTGGGAGGGCTCCAGGAAGCTCCTGAGGGCGATGACGAACCGGGGCAGGACGGAGACCACCAGGAAGGGCCCGGCTGCGTAGTGCACGACCACGTGCCTGTACAGGGCGGCCGCGTCCGAGGGCCTGGGCAGCCTGTGCACCAGCTGCAGGGCCAGCAGGGCCAGAGCCGTGCTCGCCACCCGCAGGCGGCCGTCCAGGAGCTGCTCCTCGTCCCGGCGGCGCGGGGGGGTCTCGGCGGCCAGGGCCAGCCCCAGGGCACTGCCCACCACCCGGCACAGCGAGGCGAAGGGCCGCGTGTCCGGCCGCAGCCACGCCGGGTCCGAGCACCAGGCGCTGGCCAGGCGGAGGGACCTGCGGGGGGGGCTCCACGGTTGGTGTTCCCCCCCACCCCAAAAAGGGGCTGGGGGTAGGTCTTTGGGGTAGCCCCCTCCTCAAATGGGTTGGGGGTAGGTCAGGGTGGATCCTGACAGTCTAGGGGGCAGATCCCTAGGGATAGCACTCCCCCCATCCCCAAATGTCTGGGGGCAGATCCCTGGGGATAGGACCCCCCACCTCCCAAAACCAGTGTAGGGGGCAAATCCCTGGGGTTACTCCCATCCCAAAATGGTCTGGGGGCAGATCCCTGGGTATAGTACCCCCCGAAAAACAGCCTGGGGGTAGGTTCCTGGGGTTAGTACCCCCCAGACACATCCCAAAAATAGTCTGAGAGGAGATCTCTGTGTAGCCCCCTCCCCAAATGGTCCGGGGGCAGATGCCTGGAGCTGGATACCAACAGCCTGGGGGACAGATCCCTGGGGATAGTACCCCCTGAAAAACAGCCTGGGGGTAGGTTCCTGGGGTTAGTACCCTCCCCCCAAACATCTGGGGGCAGATCCCTGGGGATAATACCCCCGCACTAAAAACAGTCTGGGGCAGATCCCTGGGGCCGTTCCCCCCAACACCTCCCAAAAACTGTGTAGGGGGCAGATCCCTGCAGTTAGTCCCATCCCAAAATGGTCTGGAGGCAGACCCCTGCGGCTGTTCCCCACAATAGCCTGGGAACAGATCCCTGGGGATAACCACCCTTCACCCAGAGGGGCTGATCCCTGGGGATACCCCTTTCCACCCTGGAAGGCTGAACCCTGAGGATACACCCTGCCACCCTGAGGGGCTCATCCCTGGGGATAACCCCCTCCACCCTGGAATGCTGATCCCTGGGGATATCCCCCATCCTCCCTGGGCACTCACCAGTCGAGGTCGATGCCAGCAGCCGTAGCCAGGCTGTGCAGGGCCAGTGCACTCAGCATCAGTACCACAGCCACCGCCACGAAGAACCGGAACACACGGAAGTTGGGGGGGCAGCGCTGCAGCCCCCAGCCCAGCGCCGAGCCTGGCACAGGGAACAGGCAGGTTTGGGACTGGGATGGACCGGGAAAGGGGCTCGAGGGAAGGGGAAGGTGCCCCCTACACCCTGAGCCAGGATGGGGTGTTGGGATATGTGTGCCCCCCACTCCCCTCACCTGCCAGGATGCCGGTGACCACCTGGTGGGGGAAGTGGGCCAGGACAAAGATCCGGGAGAGCCCCATGGCCACCAGGAAGAGGGTGTAGGCAAGGAAAGGGATCAGTCTCAGCACCCGGCTGGAAGGGAACCGGGGTTAGTGGTGGAGGGAGGTAGCCCCTGGCTCCAGCTCTGGCCAGGCAGGGCAGGATTGATCCCACCGAGCAGCAGGAATGGGTGAAGCAGAGGTGAAGAAGGCAAGAAAAAATGTTGGGGGGGGTCTCACAGCCTCTTCCCGAGCTGCCAGGGGAGGGATGTGTCCCCCTGGAGCTGCCCTGCTGGGAGGGGAAGAGATCCTACTCACCCCCTGCCGAGGAGGGGTCCCACATCCCACCCGCCTCTTCCCAAAGGTGCTCTGGAAGCTTCCAAGCTCTGGTTTCCCCATCCCAGGCTCACCATGCCCACTTAAGAAAGGTCCCACATCCCACCTCCCTCTTCCCACAGGTGCTCTGGAAACTTCCAAGCGACAGTTTCCCCATTCCAGGACTCATCCTGCCTATCCCCCATGGGTGCTGCCTGCCAAGGAGGGGTGCCACATCCTATCCCCTCTTCCCACAGGTGCTCTGGAAGCTTCCAGGTGCTGCCCATCCCAGACTCACCTGCGGGTGCTCCGGGCCACCTCAGCTGTCAGCGCGGTGACAAGTGGCCACAGGGCTGCCCCGGGGATCATGCAGTGGCCTGAGGGGCTCCCTGGGTGGGGGGAAGCACATGGAGGGTCAGGGGGAGCTTGTCCCAGTGGGATGAGAGCTGGGAATGTCGAGCCTAACCCTGCCTGCACCCGGGGATCCCTCCTGGCTGAGCCTGGAGGCTCAGGGATGGGGATGGAGCCAGTGCTCAAAACTCCAGGCATGTTTACAGGGAGCCCAGGTGGAGCAGTGACATTCCCAGACTCTCCCGTGGGTTTCCTGGCCCCGGAACCATTGGTGCCGCAGGGCTGTGCCAGCACCGGCGGCGTTGGACCCGCTCCCTGCTGCTCCCTCGTATTTCCTGGCTGAGGAACAGCTTTTCCCGCTCCCAGCCCGGCATTCCCACAGGGGTGGAGCCTCCTGGCTCCTGCGGCTCCTCCCCAGGGATCATCAGGTTGTCCTGGACAAGTGGAGGCTTCACCTGTGACTCACCTGGTCCCGTTTCGCAGGTGACCGGGAACTGGCGCAGCGGGAACTTCTCCAGCTCCTCCTGGGAGAACAACCCGGACTCATGGATCCACCAGTACGGGCGTTCCCCAAATAGGAACCTTGAGGGACGGAAAACACCAGAGCCTTCCCACCCATCCCAGGGGATCCAGGAGGGCAGGATCCCTGCCACCCATCCCATGGGATCCATGAGGGCACGATCCCTGCCACCCATCCCAGAAGACCGGGAAAGGCAGGATCCCTGCCACCCATTCCATGGTATTGGGGATTTGGGAAGACAGAATCACTGCCAACCATTCTGACATTTCCAGGGATGAAGCCAGAGTGAGATGGCAGGATTCCTGCACCCATTCCAGGGGAACCCAGCATGGAGCCACAGCAGGAGGGCACGATCCCTGCCACCCATCCCAGAGGACTGGAAAGGGCAGAATCCCTGCCACCTATCCCATGGTATCTGGGGATTTGGGAGGGCAGAATCACTGCCAACCATTCTGGGATTTCCAGGGACAAAGCCCCAGCAGGAGGGCAGGATCCCTGCCATTCATCCTGGGATTACCAGGGATGGAGCCACAGCAGGACAGCAGGATCCCTGCCACTCTTCCCGGGATTTCCAGGGATATATCCACGGTAGGAGGGCAGGATCCCTGCACCCATCCCAGGTGACCCATGAGGGCAGGATCCGTGCCACTCATCCTGGGATTACCAGGGATGGAGCCACAGCAGAAGAGCAGGATCCCTGCCAGTCCTGATGCCTCCCGGGGTTTTCCCTGCCAGGGATTCCTGGCAGATGCCTGGGGCAGCTTGGGTGACCCTGCGGAATGCTGCAGGGAGTCTGTGCCCAGAACTCCGGGAGTTTCCCTGAGCTGTGTCCCCATGCCAGTGCCACCCCCAGTGCCACCCCCAGTGCCACCCCCTCACCATTTGAGGACCACGTTGAGCCACTCAGCCACGAGCCCGATCCAGAGCACCATGAGCCCCACCCGGGCATCCAGCCCGTGGGCCAGCGGGAAGCAGAAGGTGTAGATGGATTTGGGATCGAAGTGGGATGTCAGGTAGACCCAGAACTGCTCCAGCCAGGGCGGCCCAGCCTGCAGGGCCAGGGCTGCCCAGATCCCGGCCTCATGCAGGGCATCCATGGCACCCGGCTGGCACATGGGGACAGAGATCAGTCTGGGCACAGATCCCTTGGGAATCCCCCTGGGAAGGGGCTGGGAGGTGGCTGGATACTGAGGGAATCCCTTGGGAAGGGGGTGAGAGGTGGCTGGATACTGAGGAATCTGGGGGTGGGAGGTGGCTGGATCCTGAGGGATGGGATGTCTTGGGAAGGGCCTGGGAGGTGGCTGGATCCTGAGGAATCTCTTGGAAAAGGGCTGGGAGGTGGCTGGATCTTGAGGGATGTCTTGGGAAGGGTCTGGGAGGTGGCTGGGTCCTGAGAATTCCCTTGGGAAGAGGGTGGGAGGTGGCTGGATCTCAAGGATACCCTTGGGAAGGGGCTGGGATGTGGTTGGATCCCAAGGGATGCCTTAGCAAGGATCCAGGGAGTTATTCACCACCTGAAGTTTGCCCACAAGGGACTTCCAAACTTCTGCTTGGGGGGTCCCAGTGGAGCAGAGCTGGGAGTCAGGGATGGGGGCCAGGGGAATCCCTGTGGGAATTGCTGGAGCAGCCAGGCTGCTCCAAAGAGCCCCGACCTCCCTGAGGACTCTTGGGGTCTTCCATTGGAAAGTTCCCTAGGGTCATTCTGGAGCAGGCCTGAGGTCTCCCTGGGGTCTTCCCTGGAGCCAACCTGGGGACTCTTTGGGGTTTCCCTGGGGTCTCTCTAAAGCAGGTCCTGGGCTTCCCTGGGATCCCTTTGGGGGTCTCTCTGGAGGAGGACTGGGATTTCCCCAGAGACTTCCCTGGAGCTGACCTGGGGTCTCTTCGGGGTCTGTCTGTGGTCTCAAGCAGGGAAACTCCTTGAGGTCTTCCTGGAGCAGGACCAGGGTCTTCCTAGGGGCTCTCTGGGATCTCTTTGGGGTCTCCCTAAAGCAGGTGCCAGATCTCTCTGGGCTCCCTTTGGGGTTTCCCTGTGGTCTCAGGCCTGGACCCTCCCAGGGCTCTCCCTGGCTCAGACTCCGAGATCTCCCTGAGGCCTCTCTGGGGTCTCCCTGGATCAGACTCGGGGTCTTCTCGGGCCTCCCTTGGCCTCTCAGGCCCGAGGCCTCCCTGGGGTCCCCCTCACTCCAGACCCGCGGCCTCCCATTGCCCGCAGGACCCTCTGAGACGCCCGGCCGCGCTCCTCGCCGCTCCCCGCTCACCCCGGTGCGGTCGGGCGGTACCTGCTGGGGGAGCTCCATGTCGGGGGGACCCCCTAAACCGTCCCTCCCGCCGCTCTCACAGCCCCTCTTCCGCCTACAACTCCCGACGCCCCCCGCGGCGCCGCGCGCTGACGGCAGCGCGGGGGGGCCAAACCCCGCCAGGCGCGGGGGAAGGAGGGCGGGACCCCGCGGGCGCTCGACCAATCACGAGGCGGGGCGGAGCAGATCGGCGGGGCGGAGCGCCAATCCCCGCCCTCGCCGCCGAGGTGGCCCCGCCCCCCGCCGCGCCTGGGCCGAGGCGAGCGGAGCCGCGGGCGCTGCGGGCGGACAAGATGGCGGCGCCGGGCGAGTACTTCAGCGTGGGCAGCCAGGTGTCCTGCCGCACCTGCCAGGAGCAGCGCCTCCAGGGCGAGGTCGTCGCCTTCGACTACCCCAGCAAGATGCTGGCGCTCAGTATCCGCCCGCCTGTGTTTCGTCCCGGTGGTCCTCGGGCCCCCGCCGCGGCCCGCCCGGGCCTCTGCGGCCCGCCCGATATGATGGGGGGGGGGGGGGGGGGGGGGGGGGGGGGGGGGG